ATTATGGTTACTGTTTCACGAACAACCAATACCACTTGGCAATTTTTTCAGACAGAAACCGAGGGTTACCTTACAGTAAAGATCAGCCATATCATTAAGATCCTTAAGAAAATTTGGAATATTTATAAAGGTTTTCGAGGTGAAAACATGATCGATTTTGTTACAAATCACATGGTTTAGACATGTTTTAATTATGTTCCTGCCAGATTGGTAGAATCTCGGTGAATATTGTCCTTCATTGTACAAATCTTAACAGATACAAGATATAACATATGAGTATAGAATCTGAAGGAAAGCTAGATTAGGTTATTTGAGTATGGCTAAGCATGTTGGGTATTAGCCTGAGGAAGGATACCTTTATGAAGGATGTTTTAGGGAACCTTCAGTGGACCAAACACATAGAAATCGCAGGGCGACATGTCCGGAATGTAGGACGGATAGTCCGACGTCTCCCACTTGAACTTGGCCAGTTCCATGTGTTTGACTCTGGAGACGTGAGGACGAGCGTTATCATGGAGCAGAACCACACCCTCCGTGAGCAGCCTGGTCTTTTGTTCTTGATGGACCTGCGTAGGCGCGTCGGAGTGTCAACAGACATCAGAGTTAATGGTTTTTCTGTGCTCGAGGAATTCCACAAGTAGCGGACTTGATGGCACGTCTTTGAACTTAGGGGGGAGGTGACGATGCATGCTTCCACTGCATCCTGTCCTGCTTTGTCTCTGTCTTGTAGTGATGGCACCAGGTCTCATCACCTGTGATGATCCGCTCCATGAAAGCAGGGTCTTCCTGATACCGAAACAGATGTTGCAGTGCTAGCCCCATGCGCAGTTCCTTTTGCTGGTCGGTGAGCTGCTTCGGAACCTAAGTGGCACACACCTTCTGATATCGCAACCTGTCATGAACAATTGTCCACACGGTTCCATAGCTGACATCCACCTTCACCGCCATCATTCGCAATGTGACACGCCGATCATTTCTCACTAGGTCGTCCACCTTGTCGATGAGATAGTTCGTGATGACAATGTTTGCCTGTCCTGGTCTCAGGTCATCACCCACACTCTCACGGCCTGCATGAAAACCTCTTCATTTTCTGACAGACTTGTCAGAGACACATTTTCCCCCTTAAACTGTCACCATCCGGCGATGAATAGCTGCCAGTTTCTCACCTTCTGCTGTCAGAAATCGGATAACATCTTGCTGCTCAGTCTTCAGTCATCCTCAGTCGTCGAATTTTGCAACGCGAATGCCATCCTGTCCTCACACAGACTGCCGCCTCATTTGGATGCCGCTTTTGATAAGAGCCCCTGCTCTCTTCTGCACATGTGGGCACCCGCACATGCTCCGATCCCAGTCAGAGACTCCAATCGCATCCCGAGATGTCTCGCTTCGCTCTCCCATGGCGGAATATGCAAATATTTAACTGTTACTTTTTTTACATCATTTCGTATCTTTTCATTTGACCATCCCTTGTATATTGTTCCTTCTTTGATTTACTTTTGGATTTCTGCCATCAGTGACACTGCTTGTATCCCGAATATCCAGGAAAGTTTCTGGTACTTTCTGACTATCCCCATCCCCACTGGAAAGTGAAATTTCTCCTCACTTATTTCCTGTAAATATTATTGTCTGTCAGCTGTTGTTGCCTATATACTTGAAAATATGCCAAAAATGGGGCACTTGAAATCAGGGGTATAAATAATCAGGAAATATCCCCTTTTTTAAACATCAGTTTTTCATAAGTATAAATATTTTAATCTTGTGTTGTATTACTTCAAATTTTAATTTAGGGTTTCATTATTTGTCATTGGAATTACTCTTCATTTATGTCACTACAGATTTACGAATTCTTTTGATGTAAGCAAGAGACTCCCATTTCAACCATACTTCTGCCAGCCCATTCCATCTTTCACTTACTCTTAAAAGTTCCTCATGATTTTTATTAGTTTAATATATTTATTTATTTATTTTCCCTAGAAACTGTGGCTTCCAGCATCCGAAATCATTTACTTTTTCTTATGATTTCTCAATTACATATGTCGCTGTTTCAACTCTGGCTCAACAGAACATTTGTTTTTATAATGCATTCTAAACATTTCGTTTTATAATGCATTAAAGCATCTAACTGTGTGGATCTGATTTGTTTACTGATATGCTGCTTCTCATCAGTTTCTTTAAGAATAATTTTATTTGCATTTATTATGAAATAAATGAATTATTATGAAATTTGCATTTATTATGAAATAATTGCTTTGTGGGGAAGCCATCTTACCGTGCCTGTACATTTCATAACAATATATTTCATTTATTTCATAATAAATACACGGTACAGGCACGGTAAGATGGCTTCCCCACAAAGCAATTTTAGGGTTGCCATAAAATGGCAAGGGAAGGCAGAATTTCCACATTTGACGAGAAGTTGCCTATTTGGCGACAAAATTTTCGATATACCATGGACGGATGGAGAACCTTCTGGAACAAATTCTTACCGGCTTAGCCCAGAATGTTCTCGAACACAACCCGAAAGCTATATAAACCCTGCTGGTCCGCAGTCAGTTAGTGTGTGTGCCTCGTCTAGCGAGCTGATAGTCAGTCATTGAGCGAGTGTCTCGAAGTCTAGCGCCAAGTTGGTCTTCGAATGCATCGAGAGAGTCTTTTAGTGCGTCGCTAATTAGTGCATCGAGTTTTGTCTTGGACTGTGCTGAGTCGAGAGCTATACTCTTGTGTATCGTTGAGTGCATCGCGTTTAGAGTCTCGAGAGTACATGGAGTTCCGAGAACGACCAAACAGAGTTGGAAGCTGTACTCGGCTGCTTTGCAGTGAAGCTGTCTCCACCGTTATTGCCCGACAGTGTGAAGGCTGTGTCGCTGAACGTGTCAGCATGTTTATAACAGTTCGATGACTGTAAATGTGATTTTGGAGCTATCTGATTAATACTGTTCGATGCTTCATCAAGTGTCGTCGTTATTCACCCAAAATCTACGAACCCCGTATGAACGTGAAGTAAGAAAATAACGTAACAATATTCTAAATTAATGTTCTCAGACTTAAACTGCATGTTAGCTGAAGAGTCGGTAAATGGTATGAGGTTCACATTCTTAATTGAGATGATTAATTATTAATAATATTTTTGTTTACTGATGTCTATAGAAAAGTAAAATACTCATGTATTTTTTGAAAAATATATATAGATGAATTTTCATGTGTTATTTTATAAAAACAAATTAATGTTTGCAGTGTTTTGATTTCACTTGGTGGAAGGGTTGTGATGTACTAAAAAACATGTGGATATCTAAAAGCACAAAGACAAGGTAAATTGTATTGGAAAAAAAACCACCTTTTTTTAGCAATGAAGAATCAAGAAATTAAAAATGTGGCATGCTTATTTTCTGGCATTTCGCTTGAGCCTAATCTGACACTGAGAGCTTCTGATCATGCTGTGCTGTATTTGGAAAAACGATTCGTGATAACAAAATTGCTAAGAAATATTCATGCGCAAGAACAAAAAGGATTGTAGTTGTTATTGCACATGATGATTCAATGTGGTCAATGTGTAAGAAAGATCCCTTACAATAACTTAGCAAAATTTATTAATGACAAGTAAAACTTTGTTTAAATAATTAAGGATATGTTATTTGGATGTTTTGGCCTTTCGCATCTTGCATTTGGATGGAGGGTTTGATATCGTTCAGCTAATTATTAAAATTGCTGGAAAATTAAGTTCCTTTTAATAACTGTTTAATACTTTGTATAGACAATATACCAGTAATGATAGGCTTGAAGGACTAGTGTTGCAGGAATCTTGAAAAAAAAGAAAAAAAAAAAAAATACACTCACACACTGGTTATTTTTAATTTGCTTTAATTTTTATTAGCTTTTTAAAAATATTAGCAAAAACAGGCCGGTACTTTTCCATTTTGCCGGTCCAAACGATAAAGTCGCCAATAATGGTACAACTGATGCCAAATGGAATATCTTCGCTGGTAACCTTTTACTCTTCATTTTCAAAACAAATTGCAACCATTTCTTATCAGATTGATTGTTTCTTTCAATACTGGCAATTTTTGCAAGATAGTTAAATTTTATGCCCTAAGACCATTCACGGTAATTAATTTGGATGCAATCACACCACTCACCCGAAGGCAAAAATATAGAAAAGGCAAAATCAAGGGTTAAATTCATCAAATTTAATGAGAATAGCGAAGTAAAGCACAGCGTTTTACATAATTTCTGAGTAAGCTATTCATACAAATTGAAATAATTCTTGCATTTAAACATGTATTCAATAAAATTTAATTTAAGATTTAACTTGAAATTAATGTAGATAATTACTGAGAGAATTAGATTTTTGTAGCGTAGTTTACGTGATATAAGATCACTTGGGGTCACATGATACAAACCGGCAAATCAGGATGTTGAACCATGAAAGCATAGTAAATTCTTAAATTAATGTCTTTTTACAAATTTATTGTTTTTATTTATTGGCTTTTTACAAAATTTTAAACCATATTAAAATGTTTATGCCTTCAAAATAAAAAATTCGTAGAACTAACATTTGTTAACATTTTTTATATGTATACTGTATGCTGTTGCCAACAAAGTCTGCTTGGCGAGATGCGTCTGGGAAACGGAAAAGTACCAACAGGCCTACGTGTCAATAACTATGAGCAAAATTATAACACTTCTTTCTTAAATAAACTAAAATCTGTTAATGTTAACAATTATATGAAAACAGATCAACCTATTATTTTGTATAAAAAAAATGTGTCAAATCATTAAAATATATTTCATCCAGGAATATTTTTGTGCTAATTGTATATAAAGCTCATAATTGATATAATTGATAGTATTTACAGTTTATTATTATTACTGTTTAATAATTATTTTTGTCATTTGATTTCTTGAAAAACATCTTTGAGTAGATTGGCATATCTGTCATTAATGCAATTTTTTTTTTTTTTTTTTTTTTTATCATCTTGTAAGAAAATATTTTCCTTTTACAGGTAGAGTATGCCAGACTTAGAATACAGTTAGTGGAAAATGTTGCATTTCATCCTGTATCCTTGTTGCGACGAGATCAGCAACATCTATCTCATTCAGATTCGCATTTGGCATCAATTCCTGAAAATTGCTCAGATAGCAGTGCTTCAGTAGATGAAAGTCAACAGCAAGTTCAGGTGCAAGAAACTCTTATCCAAAATTACCGTAGTGAGATTTTTAGGTTACAGGAAGAGAATAGAAAAATTCAGAGGAAGTACTGGGAGCAAGTAAGATTTTTTCCTTTATTTCAATAATTCTGTTAAATGAAATTTTACGTTTGTGTAATAATGTAATTTGTTTACTATGTTAACAAAATGTGTTAATATTTTTATCAGATGGAGCTTTGATTTGTATCAGTTCTTAGAAATTAAAAAAAAAAAAACAGAGAAAGAGGTTTCCTTCTTCGTTTTATGAAATAAGTGTACTTCTGCCTCCAAATAAAGGATATGCTTGGGAGTAGATATTTTGTCTCCTTTCTTTCAACATTTTCTTTCTAGAGATAGCTTATAACATAATTACAAGTTTCAATTTTATTTATGTGCCATCTTAATTAGTATGGTAGTTAGCAGTGCTAACTTCTGCAGTGTTGGGCTTAGGTTTAAATTCAGAGAAAGCATGGATGTACCTTAAATTACTGTCAAACCCAAAATTTGCTTGAGAGGTCGAGGTTAGTAAACAGAGTTAAGGAAACCATTAGATTCATTCCCTGGAGTGTTCTTCATCAGATTTTAGATAAATCTGGATAGCATTTTATTGTCTGCTGATAAGATGCCCAAGACCTTGAAACAATTACAGATACTTTCTTCCTCTTGACCATAATGAATTTATGAACTTAATCAAATTCTTCTCAGATCATTTAGATAAATAACAGTATGTGTATATGATATTTAATAAATAAAGTTAAACATTTTGAACCTGTTTAAGTATAACATCAAATGTTTGCACATGCCAAATTATTAATCTGTTAGTAAAACAGTAATGTGTAAATGATTATGTACTGAGTAACTTTTAAATTGTAAATAATTCACTTTAGTCAAATATTCAGCTATATATTTATTTAAATGAATACTGAGAAAATACTGTTGCGTTCTACAGGTTCGTGGATTTGAAGTAATTGATGAAGAATCAAAACATAATTTATTTGCCATTAAGTACTATTACATAGGACAATTTCAAAGACACATTAACAACTGTTGAAAAACTATGACAAACACGTTGATACAATCAGCAACACAACCTTCAGGCTATAATGTTGAAGACAGCTTCATGGCAAAGCATTAAAGTATAGCTTCCAACTCGATCGATCACTCTTAAGCTAATCTCTGAAATCAAAACCTTACTTTCTCCCATTACAGACAGGATATATGTAGCTTTAACCTACCTCCAAGAATATTCCCAAGAAAATACTCGCTCCATCTATGACATATTGCTAATTTTGTTTGCTCGATTTCACATCAAATCTGGCAACCCTAAGTCTGCCATTGACTCATGCTGCTCAGCTGGCAAACATCTTTCACCACTCCACTGGAGGAGCATCATTTTTAGTCTCTTTTGCGGGGAAGCTAACTCGCTGTGCAGTCGCAGGCATTTCACAATACTGCTCCCTCCAAAGGATTGCTTGTTCCGGGCAATACGAAGCCAAATTCAGCACGAACAGACAAAATAATAAAAAGGTAACAAAACAACAAATAAAGTAAAAAATTTTTACACTATTTTTACAAGTAAACAAATGTTTACACTATTTTTACAAGTAAACTACATACATATACAAGTAGTTGTAGTATATACAAGTATATTATAGTGAGAACAAGTTTATATAGGAAAATTAAGCTCTAACAATTATGGGTATCCCTAAGAATGAGAAACTATGTACTATGGCCATAGTTTCTCATTCTTAGGGATACCCATAATTATTACGGATACCCATAATTAATATTCTTAGTGATACCCATAGTATTTGGCTGATCTGTCACAAAGGATGAACTTAAGTTTGGAATTGGAGGACTTACGGATTCGAACCACGATGTTGTTCAGTCTGTTGAGGACCTCCCAAACTGCAGTCGCAGAGTGCAGTTTGGGAGAAATACCCTTGGATTCCACAGGATTCCTTGAATTGACACGCATTGTCAACATTGTCGTTTTCCTGCAATTGATGTTCGGTGGCTCTTGCGTCGTATCTCTTCTTCATCTTGTCTGTTGAGATGTTGATCTGTTCCCGGGCAAAACTGTGTACTGTTTCCAAACAGGCCTGGAGGTTTTGCACGTGTTCCTCAGGCAAGGGATGTAGGTTATGGGGGGGGGAAAGGCAGTTCTATATCTCTTGTTCTACTGGGCCGATTGATGAAATTCAAATTGCGTTTTTCATTTCTCGAAAGTTCAGCTTAGGCTATATATAAGATTTGTATCTTATATATAAGATTTATATTTTATATATAGCTATGTATAAGATTTATATCTTATATCTTATTGTTGTTATTTATATCTTTTATATATTACTGGTCCATGGCAAATGTCTAAGTATGACGGGTAATCTGCTTGAAAGGAGCTCATACATTGTGTTGCTGCAGCCTTCCCCAGCTACATCCCTTCGGTCCTTTCTTGGCTTTGCAAGATTGGCACCACTTCTCAACATCGATTCTCACTAATCTTCTGACGAAGTGCTCTAAAACGTTGTTTAGTGTCTTCATATAGCCAAAATGCCCTTCTATGGGATGTTTTGTATTTCCTTCATCGGGTATTCGATTTCGAGGAAGCAGCAACTGTCATCTCTTATTTCTTCCATCGTTGCTTTCCCATAGTCAATATAAGCCTCTTTTTTGGAAGTGGAGTGATTTTCAGAGAGCCCAATACCTTTCAGTTGTAGGACTGAAGATGGAAATGTCCTGCCACTTGGGTATTTTACTAAATGATTTCTTTAGCTCTATTATTGGCGAAATGACAGGATTTAGCGGTTGATCTTCTCTTTTTCATCACTCGACAGATCTGGATGGGCTGGTATTGGAGATGTTATTTGCTGGATGCTGGGATTCACCAACTTGTACTTATCCTCAGCTCTTGAACAATGTGCAGGACAAGGCTTCCTGGATAAAGCTTCTGCATTTCCTTGGGAGGAGCCTTTATGATATTTTATCTCAAAGTCATATTCTTGGAGTCTTTGAATCCATCTGGCTATTTGTCCTTCAGTATTTTTGAAATTCAATAGCAATGTTAAGGTAGCATGATTAGTCCACAATAAGAATTTCTGCCATAGAGATAATGATAGAAATGTTGTATGGCTTTTATGATAGTAAGCAATTATTTATGGGTGATGCAATAATTCCTTTCTGGTTTGGACAAGCACTTACTCCATTAGGCTGTTATTCACTCTTGATCATCAATCATTTGGGAAAGGACAGCTCTCACACTTCCATTGCTTGCATCTGTGTCTGATATGAAGTGCTTGTCAGTCTGGAGATATGCGAGCACAGGTAAAGATGTTTATGCTGTCTTCAACTGATTAAAGGATTTTTCACACTACTCAGTCCACATGAACTTTTGTTTACTCTCTCTTAATGTATGCAAGGACTTTGTGATGCTTGAGAACCCTTTCATGAATGTTCTGTAATAAGCGCATAGTTCCTGGAAGCTCTACAGTTGATGAGTATCTAGAAGACGTTCCCAGTCCTTAACTGCTAGCATTTTCTCTGGATCTGACGGGCACCTTTAGCGGAGATGATGTATCCCAGATAGGTGACTTCACTGCAGAATAACTTGCATTTCGAAGGACTCAGCCTGAGGTTGGTGTCTTTCAATTTCTTCAACACCTTCCTGATATTTTCTAGGTGTTGCCTGAAACTGTGGCCCACTATAATAATGTCATCTAGGTAGACCAGACAGGATTTGTAAAATAAATCACGAAGCACTGTCTCCATCAGGCATTCAAATGTTGCAGTGGCATTACAGTATTCAAATGGCATAACTTTAAACTGCCAGAGCCCTTGGTAGTGAACGTAGTTTTCTCTCTGCCAAGTGGAAATTCACCCCAATGATCAAATATGCTGAAACAATCAGCCGCACAAGCCTTCAGCCTTTAATGGTGAAGACAGTTTCACGGCAAACCACTAAAGTACAACTCCTGACTCGGTCGAATGCTCTCAAGCTAATCTCTGAACTTAGTGCACTATCTTTTCCTTGTACAAGCAGGGTATATATAGTTTTAACCTACCTTCGAGAATATTCGTGAGGAAACCGCTAAAATTGCATTCTAGAATATTCTCACTCCATGTATGACATATCGTCAATTTTGTGGCCCAATATCATCACCAAGATGTTGGCTGAACAAAACTGATGCAACATTGAATTGATACGGGGGATCACTCTCTAATCAAGTAACATTCTAATCAAGTAAGAATAGATAATTGGACTATGTGTGCTTTGTTTAAAAATCTATGCCAAACTTTTTTTGCCTAGTTTTAAATTGCTTAAGCACAATTGTTCTTCTGCAGTTTGAATTATCTGATTTATGTAAAAAGTAGTTCTTGTGCATTTCACTTCACTTATATTGAAAAAATGCAGATACTATTCTTGGCAGCTGATTTCAGTACTTATGTATACCATTAGAATAGAGATTTGGACTATGTGTGCCTAGTGTTAACATATTCTGAAGTATAAAGAGAGTACCAGTATCATTTTGGAACAAGAAAATGGCCTATACGTCCAAACCCTCCAAACTTTAAACAATGTCTTACAAATATAAAGACAATAAAAATCATAACTTTCAAGCAATAGAAATGTTTAAGATGTATATTTTGATACCTATTGTAAAGTATGTAATTGGACTGTGCATGTATAAATTCATAAAAATACCACAATGAACTTTATTATTTAATCAAATTTCAGTTATTCATGTTGTAATAAAGGGTAACTTCATTTAAGCACTGCATGAATAGTTGTGTGCTGATCTGATTAATTTTAAAATACCAAGCAATTTTTGCAAATACACATGTAAAAGATGTAAAGTAAAATAATAAATAGTAAATGATGCTAAGTAAAATGAAAAAATTCACCATAGTTATTCTTTCACGTACTCCATTTCAAAAGGATTCCTTTTCTTAGACTACTGCCCTTTAATAAGAGAATAGTCTTTCCACAGTAGCATTGTGGCCAGTAATTGCAAAGAAAAACTGGGTAGTATTACAGTCAAAAGTCGTTAATCCGGACTCATCGGGACTTTGGCGATTCCGGATTATCGATTTTTCCGCATTATAGATCATCAGTTTAAATCTGGTAAGATGGCATGCAGAAATTATAAAGTTAAAAATATGAAACCGTAATTTATGAAATAAAGAACAATTATGGTCTAAAGGGTATCAAAATTTACAAAAAAAAAAAAAAAAAAAAAAAAAGCTTTATATTTATTTGTTTACTTTATTAAACATTTCTTTCAATGTAAGTTGTTTAAGTTGCTTCGTTTTTTATGTGATAATACATTATCTTTAATTCTATAAACAGACATAATTTCTTCTTCAGTTACAAAGTTCCACTGTTCAAGTCCTATAATTGCTGTGTCAAGAATACCGACTAATTTGTCAATCGAAATTTTTTCTTTTTCAATAACCTCTGTCACTTTCTTTGCTATTGGAAGCAAATTATAATGATGAGGAATTTGATTTAAATCGTATCAAAGACGGAGTAATAAGCCAAATAAAATAAAAACATCTGTCCTGAAGATAAGGATAATGCTGACAGATCAACTTCCAATTCATTGCGCGCCGCGGCGTTAAAGATAAAGTTTAGGTAAACAAAGGATATGCCTTTATCCATTTTTTGCAGCAATTCCTTTTTTTGTTTAATGGACTTCGAAACATACTTTCGCTTTGTAGATCCTTTACATATTAGTAAATATATATCAGAAATTCTATTTGAAAGTTCAAGCTTACTTTTATAAAATTGCTCTAACAGTCTGCAAAAAATAATAAGCCGAATGCAATTCGAAGATTAAGGAACAACGCAATCTGCAACATTAACTGAATTAGATAATTTAAGCTTAATTTATACCATCCGTTATACATTAAACGCGCATTGGTAAACGTATTTTGCGCACGCGCACATGCATATTCGCAGCCGTCAACGCGACGCATGCGCAGAAAGTTTGTAGCTTTGAGGTCCGGATTATAGATCATTCTGGATTATGGGTGTCCGAGTTAACGACTTTTGACTGTATAAAATTTTGAATATATACACTATTTTTTTAATTATATTTTTTATTAAATAATAGTAACTTCATCTCTTCATCCTTTAGATTCTTTTCTTTCATTAATTTCTTTAGATCGAAGAACTAGTTAAATTGTCATGAGTATCTAGCCCCTTATAATTACTTTTATGTTGGTGATGGATTATTCAGTTTCTGGACTAAAACAGTTTTTAGGTATCATCCACTTATAGCAATATTACTTCTTAAATGGCTTGATCTGTATATCCTGTTATTCTAAGCTATCATTGCATATGTTTTCAGCAACATCTGAAGAATTTTTATTATGTTCTTCCAAACAATCATTTTATATTGCTTATTATAGACTTGAAACTTTCATTCTTCAAGTCAAGCATTTTTTTAAAAGTAAAATTCACAGGTCTAATTACTTGATATTTGCATTGGTTCTGAGAGTTCCTTCTGGGCGTTAATTTAATCCTTAAAAATATGGATATTATGCCTTGAAAAATAAGTCTGTATGGTAATTATGTATGTATCTTATTAGTTTTTTCATTGAGCAAAATTGCAACAAATGTGTTAGATATTTCTAATCTTAATTTTATCAATAATTACATGAGCTACTGCATAAGTAGTATAATTTTTTAGTATCATATTTAGTTCAGAAAATGTAATTCATTGTTCATGTTCATTTCATTAATTTATTTATTACCAGGAGAAATAGAGCTCATTCTTTAATGCTGTTTTTTCTTTTTTACTGAAACTCGATTAAAAGTAGTAAAAAATTCCTAACCTCTTTTTATAGGACTTAATTTGGTACTTATGCATTAGCACAAAATACACCTTAATAGATGTTACCTAATTTTCAGTATGTTCCAAAATCTGGCAACCATGTGTATAACCATTCTTCTAGTAACAATGGTCATAGCATTATTTCAGTCAAGCAATGTTGCCATTTCCAAAATACATTCTTTTTTTGTTATCTTCCAAGTTCCAATGGTTTTTGTAACCAAATAATATTTTTTGCTTTCGGTTTAAAATATGAGCTTTTTCAATTTTTCAGTGACAAAAGAAACTGTGGTAAAATTTTTGCTGGAATACAGAATAGTCCTAAAATTTTTCTAAAGGGAACGGCAAGGAAATGCGTTTCCTAGATAGCTCCTGTTGCCGAGGTTTGCATGAAGCCGAGTTTTCACAGTTCTCTAATGTTTTGAAGTGAAAACAGATTGGTGTGTATTTTGGGAGAATAGCATAAAAATTACAGAAGAATTAGGAAAAGAATACGGGTAGAGTAGACTTTAAGGTACCCCTTGTATTATGGCGAAGTTGTTTGATTTATCACCAAGTTGTTGTTTCATTTATGGTAGCCTGAGTATTTGAATGTTATGGAAACTCTATTGTGATGTAATCGGGTGCATGATTCTGGGAAATTTTGAATTGTGGGATGTTTTGTAAGCGTTTTTGTGGTGTGTGTTAAAAACGTTTAGTTGGATTTGAATGGGTTTGTAGGAAGAAAGGCTCAGATAGTCACTATGTAAAGCGTTCGATCAGAAAGAGTACCTGGTTTAAAAAACATCATTTGAGTATGATTGATATTTTGATTTTTACGTGGCTCTGGGTGTACGAAGCGAACTCGAAAATCATGTTTTTATGTTTGTCATAAGCATTTACTGAATAATTTAAACTAATTAAGGCAGTCTTTTACTGAGACTGTTTCTGTGGAAAAAACAAGCAATAAAATTTCATACTAATTATCTTTTTAGAGGATTCTACTGTGCTCATATACACTTTAAACATCATATTGTGCTTAGTATAAATAATTTTTTGATTAAAATATTGTTAATAAACCTTTAATTTTTATGAATTTTAATAAATTCATATTTCATAAAGTTCTGTATTTTGCATCTAACTTTAAAAATTCTTCTTTAGGTTCTTAATTCCGAACTGGTTGAAGATGAAGCTTGCAATGGTGCATCACAGCAAGTTGTGGATCTTATAGACAAGCTAGATGAAAAAGAGAAAGGTAATAAAATTTTAATCCTCCTTTTAGAATTTTCATGTTAACTCTTCCATGTTATATCCACGAAATACAATTCTTGATGGATATTGCCAGGAATTTTCAAGCGTTATAAGAAAAGTTCTATAGTTTTTTATGATAAATACAAATGAAGTAGTACAAAAACATAAACTTCCATTAAACCATATAAACATCATTTTATTCTATTCATCTCTCAGGAAATTTCCTTTTTTGCTTTTTTCTGTTTTGTTTTTGAAATTTCCTTTTTTTTCTCAGGAAATTCCTCAACTGGAAAATTCCTTTTTTAAAAATGTCATTTGGTTTATTCAGAAGAAGTTACTAACATGCTATTTGAAAAAGAAGCAAACTCTAGGGTATTTAGAGAATTTTGAAATGATCTCAAGAGATGAAATCCGAGAAAGCAAGGTCTAATGAATATGGGAGGTGACACAAAACATCTCACTCGATTTTTTGTTTGACATGCATCAAAATATGAGGTCAAGCATTGCCATGAGGGAAGACGACATCTCAGAGATAGGTTAGTTCTGTGCACTTTGCTTTGATTTCTGTTTTTAAAACTGCCATTTGGGAACAAACATTTTTTGTCTGAATTTATTGGGATTTGGTGGCTACGGTTCATAGTACATACTGTAATTTCCGGAAGAAAGGCCGCATCAGTGTAAACGGCGCACTCGAGAAAAATGGCGGGAAAAAAATTAAAATTACACAGAAACGTCGCGTCAGCGTAAGCGCCGCAATAGATTAAATTGCGTGTGACTGTATAGATGCGTGACTGTATAGTTAAATTGCGCGTCGTGGGCTGTATAGATGCAAAATCTTAACCTAAGTCCTGATATATGACATATCTGTTAAGAAAAATGCATGAAATGAAACATATTTTTAATGACTTCATAATAACTCAAAAATAAATTAAAGGTAAGAAATGTTGAAAATATATTTACGTTCACGTATACAGTCAAAAGTCATTAATCCGGACTCGTCGGGACTTCGGCGATTCCGGATTATGGGATTTTTCCAGATTTATAGATCATCAAGTTTAAATCTGGTAAGTCTGGCATGCAGAAATTATAAAAGTTAAAAATATGTAATCGTGATTTATGAAATTAAAGAAGTATTTATGATCTAAAGGGGTATCAAAATTTACAAGAAAGAAAAAGCTTACTATGTTTATTTGTTTACCTTTATTAAATATTTCTTTTCAATGTAAGTTCTTTAAGTTGCTTCCGTTTCATTTACATGTGATAATACTTTCTCTTTAATTCTGATTAAACAGACATAATCTCTTGTTTAGTTACAAAGTTCCGCTGTTCAAGTCCTATAATGCTGTGTCGAGAATACTGACTAATTTGTCAATCGAAATTTTTTCGCTTTCAATAACTTCTGTGTCACTTTCTTCACTATCGGAAGCGAATTATAATGACGAGGAATTTCATTTAAATCATATCAAAGACGGAGTACATCGAGATGAAATACTACATTAAGTAATACATACCTGCCAACTTTTACGAATTTTTCGTAATTTTTATGAAAATGCGTTTGTCTTTACGATTTTACGATCGTAATCCATTTTTTATGATTTTTTTCCTTTTACAAATGTTTTTAGTGATTTTTGTCGAAATTTAGAATTTTTCCCCAATTCAGCGATTTTTGCCAATTGCATCGTGTTTTACCGCCAACTACCAACTACTTCGAATCTAGTAACCTGCGGTTTCTCCCAACTCGCCGCTTAACCAGCCAATCCAATGCGCTGAACTTGTTTCTCCCACTCTTTTCTTTGTGGGCGCCAGATTATTTTTTTTGCATTCGCTTCAGCAGCAAGGGAATTACTCAGCAAGTGTGGATTGTCACATTCTTTTTTTTTTTTTTTTTTTTTGCACATGCTACGAGTTTTCTTAATACGTCGTTGTTACGAAATGAGTTTAAAAAAAACCGTATTCTCAATATTTTCGGCCTGCCTACAAAGCCGAATTTCCAACAATTAAAGAATCCTTCAAAGGAAATAACAATGCATTTTGCAACGTGTGCGTGTGTGACTTCATAATAAGTCATGGTGGAAGAAGCGACATTGTGAAGCACGTTAAGTCTAAAAAGCATGAAGTTAATGCTTCGGCTTTGACAACGTCAAAGAAAGTGGATAATTTTTTTTCAAATTCGGCTACGAATTCGGATGCCGATGTCATTTAGCAGAGTGTTTGTTTACTGCATTCCTCATCGAACACAAGTGCCGCTAGCGCTGCGATCCTCCGGTCAACTTTTCAGACGGATGTTCCCGACTCCAAGATTGCTCAAAAATATGCTTGTGCTCGCACGAAAACATCTTCTATTGTGAACGAATTGCGCGATGCACAAAGTTAAAACGATAGCTGCACTCCAGAATTCAGCATTTCCGGTGTCAATCGATGGCGCAACGACAGTGATTGGAAGCTCTTTACCCATCGTTGTCACGTATTTTTGTGATGTTTCTAATGAAATGAAAACTCATCTTTTGCGTCTTCCATTGTTAAATGGAACGCTACGGGAGAAAAAAATTGCCTCCTGGTAATTAATGAGTTGAACAACTTAACATCCAATATCAAACTGCATTCATCGGTGCAGATAAGCTCATGTCATGGGGGTGACAAAAGAGTGTAGCTCTTCCTCAAAAAAGAACAAAATGAATTAATGTTATGGATTTTCTGCCACTTATTAATTGGCGCAGAAAAAGCTGCAGCTGCTGTACCATTAAATATTGACCAGCTTCTGATTGATGTGTTTTTTATTGGAAAAAAGTGTAAAAAGGAAAGAACCTAAGAATTTCCAAACGTGCTTTGGTGAAACGAGAAAAATTCTGAAACTGTTGCACAGATGGTATCCTTAGGCAGAGCGCTAGGAAGGTTTATTGAACAGTGGGGGGATGCATTACTAAAATATTCCCAAAGAGACCGAAACGAAACCACAGATCCCGTCAAATTTGTCGGCATATAAGATTCCGAAAACCAACTTTCTTATAATCAAAATGCTTTAAAAGGGAAAAAGCCCACACAAATCAAACCCTTTAAAAAGAAAATGCTTAGAAGACTCCTCAAGGTCAGCTTGTTAAAGAAAGTTGAAGGGAAGAAGAAACAGTCTTCTATTAGCCGAGAGGAAAGGATTTTCTATGTTCTTTCTTCGGATTTGAACAAAGCATATTGCAGATTTGTGTTAAGTACCATTAAGATTTTTGAAAGTTTAAATACCCTTCTACAATCAGCTTCGCCAAAATCTGCCCTGTGTATCCAAATTCTTAATGATCTTTTGAAAGAACTTTTAACTAAGTTTGTAAAGCCGTCCGTTGTGAAAAACATGTGTTGTTTTATATTGCCTATAATAGTTTGGCAAATCAAACGGATGGCAATGATCTTATAATTGGAAATCAAACCAGGGAGCTTGTAAATTCTTTGAAAGATCATGAGAAAAAAGAATTTTTTCAATGTGTTAGAAAGTACTTTTCCTCAGCCTTGTGATTACCTTGTAAGGAAATTTCCTTTGCAAAATGAAGTCTTTTAAATGCTGAAGTGGCAAATTTGAAACAAATTGAAAATTCATCTTTGAAAAGATTCCTTTTTTTATTGATAAATTTCCATTTTTGTTAACAATTAAAGAAATTGAATGCCATAATATGCTTTAGATCAATGTTTCTTAACCTTTTAGCGAGTCGCACCCATGAATCTGAAAATATATCTCCACCCCCCCATTAAAAAATGTGTTTTAATTTTTTTGGTCTAGGAAAATACATTTTTTGCAAAACTTATTGTTTATTGAAAAACATTGTACATTATATATAAATAGAAAACAATATTATTTTTATTAATGACTAGTCTGTTGTTGTTCATTATTATGCTGGCGAAGCGAGGTTCCTTTTTTGAAAGACATACGCGTAAGTCATCGCTTGCATTTAAGCGATTTCTCGCTTTAGTTTTTATATGCAAAAGCGATGAAGAAATTCCCATTTCGCACAAGTAGGTGGTAGCAAAGGGTAAGAGTGATCCGTTCGCCAATTCTGGATAACGTTGTAACTGTGAACACCATAATTGCTGCAATTCTAATTGTTCGAATTCCATTTGAACATGTCCACTGCTCGCATTTCAGTAAGTTAATCTTTTTTCAGATCACTATTCATCATCAAATTTAAGTCAAATAGAAATGGATCCACTATCCTCTCTGAGTTTTGGAATATTCCGGTAGAAAAATATCCATTGAATGATCGCTCAATCGTCTCAAATGTATTACAATTCGGGTTATTATATATTCTTTTCATTATTTCTTATTATATTCTTTTCATTTTTCGTAATAACAGAATCAAGCACGGGAAAGTTTGCAAAATCCCTTTTCTACTCGACGTATCCAAATTCTAATTTTGCGAAAATGAAGATAAGTTTTCTAGATATTATTATTATTTCCCAAATCCTTGCATTTGATAGATTCAATTTATTAATGGCTAAAATTGTCTGTTAAGTAGGCCAGCCTCAGCATTGCATCATTACTCTCAAAATCTTTTACTAAATAACAGTTTTGAGTAGTCAGTAATTGAATAAATTCCTCACGCAATTTAAAAACTTGTTAAGCATGCGACCCTTAGATAACCATTGTATTCGGTGTGATATAAGAGCACGGTATGATCAGCCGATTTCTTCGCAAAATGCGAAAAATGCGATGATTAAGCGCTCGCCTTGGATGTATTTTACTACATTTATGCTGTGTTAGATGTTTTTAAACTTTGGCATGCTTTCGACGCACTTGCTGACGATGCAACATGCAATGCGTTATTATAACATCCGTAATTCTCTTTTCATGTGTGAAAAAATCCTCATTTTTGCCTAACATCGCTCGGGCTCCATCAGGATATTGAGCCAATCAATTCATGGTAATTGCTATTTAGTAAAGAGTCTTGATGCGATTGAAAACATCAATTCCTCTATATTCACCTCCAGTGGCTCACAGAATAGAAATTTTCTATTACTTCTTTC